CAAGGAATTTAGATCAAGTTAAATATAATTTCGGCAATTAAGTAAAATAATTTTGTCATTAATAAAAAACTAGTTTCATCATTTCGGTTTTGTCAATTTCGTCATATTAAGAAAGGTAATTTCGTCAGGTATCACTACTGCTTTACACATTTTTTAATTTGAAAAAATGATTTATAAAATTCTTGGAACTTTACCTTAAATGTTAAAAATATATAGATGAATATGATTTTTTTAAATACTAATGCTATTAAAAATAAATCAATACTTACTTTATCTTTAATACTTTTTTTTGTTTTATCATCTAACTCTAATGTATTATCAATTTCTAATATTGATTTCCACAATTCAATAATATTTTCATCAGATGCAACCTTAAACATCTTAAAGAATTCTTCTTTTAATGATAATCTTTCAAAAATACCTTCCATTAAATCAATAGTAGGCTGTAAACTATTTATTAATTCTTCTTTTAATTGTGATACATTTTTAATTACTTACGAATATCATTCATAGAATTACATTTATTATAACCTTTTCCAATTCTTCACATATTTCATTTCACATTAGACCAATACACTGTAAACTAAAATTTAATATTGACATAATGTGTTTTACTGGATTTTTCCAAGAGTAGCCTGAAGAAGTTCTAACAGTACTAATAAGTCTAAATCCAATTTAAGATATAAAGCCATTTGAATACGAACATATGTAACTCTATGATCAAGTCCTCCATTTGTATAAAGAAATAAATAAGGCTTATTTTCATCTTAATTATTTAATATATTATATAATTCAGTCATATGTTGTAAAGGATCAGAAGCTTGAAAAATAGGATCTTTTAAACCTTTATAGACTTGTTCTCTATAAAAAGATTCTTCTATTATATATGAAATGTCACAAATCATCGTAATACTAGGTATTATACTATACTTAGTAAAATCATGATCTGAAACTTGAAATAATCTATTTTGTGATACAATTACTTATCAACCTCTCTCAACTGCTACAATTAGATAACCTGGTTCACTAATTTTACAACAATATTTATTATCTATAAATATTAACTATGAATTTTCACGCAATAAAATAACCATTTCTTTTTGATAAAGAAATAAAATACTTGCATAATATGCATCTTTATGATCACATCGTAATTATCTAATTTGAATCATAAATTTAATTAGTAATTGGCAAGTATATTATAAACTTCTTTTGTGTTGATACCAGATTATATCAAAATTACTGCGTTATAAGGATCTGTAAAATGTTAACATTCTCAACTCCGTTAACATTCTCAACTCTATTAACATTATCAATATTATCAATATTTTTTATATTTAACATAGTTTTATTATTTATAATAGTTGGATTATATATTATATGTATTAATTATTTTATTGTTATT